GAAACCAAAATATCTCTACATGAACACAGCTGCTATTAGCAATAAAAGACAAATTAAACATTTACATACCCAAGAAATATCTCTGTGGAAATCCACTTAGTCAAATGTTAACAAAAAATATGGCTATTCCCTTCTACAAATAACCTAGTATTTTTTAGGCATTCTTCTCTATAGGATAATTCTAGGAAAACTAGTACATGTATTTCTTCCACATTCCACTTTTGATATTATACAAAAGACAGAAAAAGAAGGGAGATTTCTAGGGAAGAGAGGGATGTCCTAGGATAAAGAGCTGTCTGCTCAGCCATGTACTGCAGTCATTATATAATGCAGTGCAGTCTCTGAACCAAGAGTCAATCTTCTACAGATTTATAAATAAAATCTAGTGAGTGGGTCAGTTTAATTCCAATTATTATAATAGTTGAATTCTAAAAGTTGAATTCTAAAAGTAAGTATACCTGGACTGTCCTGATGAATAGCCCAAGAAATTACACATAGCTATATATTCTCACCATTCTTCTCTAGCTGCTTACATTTTAAGAAAACCCATTTGAGCCAAGGAAAATATTCAATCATATTAAACTCAGACACACACATTTGATTCCAACTATTTCTCTTAAAAAATTTCCTATGATTTCCTAAAATTGATTATGATTGTTTCTTCACACACACACCCCTCTATTCCAAGTGTGTATTTTTAGAAAATTAATGGTAAATTTAAAAAAATACACAAGAAAACATTTGGGATTTCACTCTAAATTGTACAGTAAGACATGACTGGATATGGAAAGCCCTGGAAAAAAAATCTGAATATCCCAAATACTAGCAAATATTTACTCTGCTTCAAAGGTAAAAGTAACATGAGATGCTAAGTCCTATCTCTTTTCTGATTATGTTGTTCCTTTCAAAATATCTTGACCATCCAAAGAAGAAAATTATTTTTTAATATTTACCAATAATTGAATTTGTGATTTTAGAATATTAAAGATCACTAATTAATCTTTAGTAGACATAAAGGAAAGGGTAACTTTTTTTACAAACTTTTAATAACTATGTGATTTTTTTGTGGCCCAAACAAATTATTTCTGCGTACAAATCAAGAAATTTTTGCACAACTTATCATCAAAACTCATTATACAAAGTTAAAATTTTTATTGCAGAAGCACACCTTAAAGTTCCAAAAGAAATACAGGTTTCTATTGAATTTTTCAATGGTTTACAGAACTATTGAGCAAAATTTACAATAATAAAGTACAATAGAAACAACTTGTATTAGGGCAAAAAAAAAAATGCCATATTGGGTTTCAGCCAATGATCCAACCAGCCAGTAATTTTTGGTTTCTGTCAATGTTACCAAGGAACATTTTGTGAAAGAATATGGCAGCTGCCTTCTATAACATTTCCTCAAAGGCAAGGGATACTTTATGAACATCTCTAACTTCCTTGCCATACTTTATATGATTCTTTTATTAGCTAATGTATCTAAACTTACTCTGAACTTCATATGTTGGCCTAGAAAACCTCCTGGAAAGAGAAGTCCCATATGTTTCCTACCCACTATGCTGCATATTGTTCCTCCTTTGTCCTAAAACATAGTTCTAGTATTCTGGGATTTAGTGAAAAACTCTGCCTTTAACCTATCCAGTATTCGTTATTATGTCATAGACTTTCAGTCTGACCTGACTGAATGAAAATAGACCACTAACAACTTTTAATTTTTAAAGAAAAAGGACTTAAATTTAAGAGAGAAGAGTAAAGAATCATTAAGAATAAATGATCACAACACATAAGCAATAGTCACTTCAAATGTAAAATCCTATATATCTTTATTAAGCTGGAGTCTGAGGCAGAGGTGGGGGGAGGGGTCATATAGATTGAATACTTTAAATAAACTCCAGTTTTTAAATCAGGGAAAGTCTTATGGGACCTCAGCTCTAACATTCCATATGTCCATCTCAATCTAATTTCTCTCTCTTTTTCATCATTTTTTTTTATCATTTTAACTCTGCTTTTTTAGATGGATATAAGAAGGAAACAAGTGGTGAGTAAAGGAAGCACACATAGAGATAGATACTAAGCCTCTTTCTCCACTTTTAAAAAACCTCTAATTTTTTTACCCTTTCATTAATTTATTTATTCTTTACTAAAATTTACTTATTCTTTATTAAGTTTATTCTTTTACCATTGAAGTTCTGCCAATTGTTCCTTTTAAATGGTAACAATAGATGATAAAATCTTGGGTTATGTTTCTATACAAACAACTCTATCCACTAGGATAAAGAAGGGAATTTTTCCTTGAACTACATTATGCCACTTTTTAGAAAATGAATATTCATGTTTCTTTGATATATGATTTAGAAACTGTTGTCAACTGGGGGATGCTGCTATATGAGTAGATACTATGATTTAATGTTGTCACTGTCAATTTCCTATTTTTTACCTTCAGAGGAATTCTTCAGCTACATGGAAAATTTTGTATTTAATGACCGAATTCCAGTTTCTCTTAAAGAATACTTAAATAAAATTATCTCAAAATTACTAGGCAATCACAGAAGTTTAAATAGTATGAAAGTGGAGTTAAAGGGTGGTTATGGACTACCAATGTATTAGCAATACCAGAAGAATACTCTTTGCCAAATAAAATGTTCACTTAGCACCAGTTCCCCGTCAGAAGTAATATTAAATACCTCAAAGAAATACTGGCCAACATGTAGAAAAGAGGAAACCTTCAATAAGTTCAATATCAGACAACTCAGAGACAGCAAATATTACATGAATGCAAGTCATGTAATTATTTAGAGTCTACTAAAGCTAATTTTAATTTTAAGGTTTGACTAAACCAGAAGACATTAGGAAGATTAAACATTTGTTTATCCCAAGTTCTCAGTTGGGAGCAAAAAAAAAAAAAAAAACTTTGCAAAGAATACTAGAATAATAAGTCTGAATGAGGAAAGCCCCCATCACATCATTCTTGACCAGTCAGAGGAAATGCAGTCTCCATTTTTAAAGTCTTATCTGTAAGGTCCTCTAAATGGACTGAACAGCATGGCGACCAATTACTCTAACAGGAAAAGAGAAATGGCTAAGCAGATACTTCCAGGACTGAATGCCTAATTCCAGTTCATGCTGATGTTGGCATTACTATTTCCTAGCATTGTGTGGTTATTTACAATATCAGTGCAAAATAATATTGTACATAATGTCAAAATTGGGTAACCATGGGTTATCTTGGAGAATTTCTCTTAAGTTATGTCATTTAAAAAAGACATAATGAATGTGAAATCACTTTTAAGTACCTAAAATTGCTCTACAAATGCAAAGTTCTGATATTTTATGAAGACTTTCTACAAGGTCAATTCTATCTTGATATTGGTTATTTCATTCAATCTATCCATTAAATAATGGTGTTGTCATTAGTTGTCTCTGTCCCTCTTCTTTAGGGTTCTAGGCTTTTTCATATATATCAGCTCAAGAGCAAAAACAAAGTAGATAATTCAGGGACATGATATTCTGAAATTAACATGAGCACAATTTTTACCCATATGCTATTTTTGTATGCTATAAGGTTAAAGAACAAGTTTCCCTGAAGTCAAAAAATTATTTCATGATCACAGAATTCAGAAGAAATCTAAGTTTCAGAATTATTAACCCAGCAAACTGTTTAATTGTAGCATTGGCTGGTATTGCCATAGTGCTCTAGAAAGAGCTTCAATTATTTCATGCCATCTATGTCCATAGTGGTCCTTTCCACAATGACACTTAAAGCTAATTCAAAATATCATTGAAATGACTGATCTCCATGAATGTATGTATAAAGTCTATATCAAATAGACTATATCAAACACCATCTTGGGGTAGGGAGAAGGGAGAGAAAGAGAGAAAATTTGGAACTCAAAATCTTATGGAAGTGAATGTTGAAAACTAAAAATTAATTAATTTTTAAAAAAGAAATGACTGAACTCTGATGAAAAACTTTCAGAAATAGAGAACTCTCTATTTATGCTTTGGAAATGATGTAAAGATAAGAAAACTAGCACTAAGATTTTAATAGAGTGTCTTTGGGCTTGCCTCACAAAGTTTGGAAGGTCTCAAAATTTAAAATAAAGCCTGTTTTCAACTGGCGCTATTTGGGAAAATGTCAGCATCATCAGACAGCATTCTTAAAAGATACCTAAAAGCAAGAAAGTCCTAAGAAATCAGTAGCAAAAGTGGAACACCACATCATAGGAATTCGTTCCCTAAATAAATAAAAAGTAATGTGGCTGTTACTTCAGTTCTATAGTTCTCCAGCTTATGTCAAAATATTCTCTGTAAACACAAAGAAGCCTTTTAAAACAAGACTTGTTTTAACTGCAGAGGTTTTGTTTTTTTTTAACACATACTGCCTATCTCATTCAAGATTCAACTCAGCATACCCACAATAATCATAAGGTTCTTCCAGCTATGCCCACTGGGGTTAAAAGCTGTTCTGGTTCCCTAAACTTCATTAAACAGTTATGACTTTAGCCATTATAGGCCTGAGGGAAACCCCTTTTTTACGGAAAATTGCTCTGAACATTTGGTCAATTCCTAAAACCTACCTGAAAAAAAAAAAGCAGAGGAAATTTTTAAAAGTAAAGTGGTTATCATAAAACCCAAAGTGAATTCCCTTCTCCAGACATCACTTAGCTGCAAAGAGATGCTAAGGTATAAGTGAATTGTCAACTTCCCTAGCTCTCCGCCCTCACTCAGTCTCTCCTAGTTCGCTGCTGGAGCTCTTGACAGGTGTAAGTGGGGGTGGGTAAGTGGTGGAAAGTGGGGATGGAAATTGCCCTGAAGCAACTTTCTTCCACCTCCCCAGGTCCCACACAGACCACAAAATCTTGCAGGGGCACGAGGGTGTCTACATCCCCCCCTCCCTCCTCCAAAAGAAAGTTGGAAGGAAGGGTAGTTTATACATATGGGGACGTGAACAGGCACAGGCACAGGTCTGGGTGGGTGAAATGAGTAACTCTCCTTACCACTCGAGCGTCTGACGATGTTCTCCAAAAATGTGTTCTGCGGTGCCACCAGCCCTCTCTTGCCCCCCGGCATCCTGGGTCTGGGGAGCAGCGGCCAGGATCTGCGGCGGGGGAGGGGGAGGAGGAGGAGGAAGAGAAGGAAGAGGAGGAGGAGGAGGAAGAGGAGGAAGAGAAGGAGGAGGAAGCAGAGAAGAGAGAGGAAAAAGAGGAGGGGGTGCGGCGACCGGGTCCCCTGACTGTATCTCGAGCCCGACCCGGATGAGCAGCTCTGGGGAGGAAGACCAGGCAGTTCATGGTAGTAGCGCTCCCCTGGCTGCTGCTGCCCAGACTGTGGCGGTGCCGCACACGGGGCTCGGGAACTGCAGGCTCCGGCGGGCACAGTGCGCCTGCGCCGCCCCCGCTGTCGCTGTCCCACAGCGGCTGCTGCTGCTACTGCTGTTGCTGCCTTGACAAGGGTTCAGCATATCTGCTCTTATTCCCGGGAGCCCCAAATCAGGGAGCCGGGGAGGGGGTTGGGGGAAGAGGGTAATGGAAGAAGCAGACTCAAATCACCGCCCTCCCCATTTCTCATTGCTTGAGACAGGCTAGACTTCGTCAGTCATTGTTTTTTGTCTCTCGCCCCTACTCCACCCCACCCCTGTCTCTCAGGCAGCTGAACCCGTACAGTCCAGCTGTGGCAACTTCTGGCGGAGGTTAGTGGGTGCTCCAGTCTTCTGTGGCGAAGGGAAATGAGATCTCATAACCCAGTAAAGAACCATGACTTGAGATGGGAAGAGGAGGAGGAGGAGGGGAGAGAGAGAGAGAGAGAGAGAGAGAGAGAGAGAGAGAGAGAGAGAGAGAGAGTTCTAAATGCTATTAGCCTATGGGTAAAGAATGGTTTCAATCACATCTCTTGAATATCTGTCCCTACACAATGCCTACTCCTTGAAACCGCCGTGGGTGCAGTAGAAGCCTTGCTGATACCTGTTCTGGGACCCATTTAGACTGATCTCAGAGCAAGGACCAGAATTGAGGGGAGCTGATGTGGGCAATTTCTTCATTCCAGGCAGACAAATCAAATCAACAAGCGTTTATTAAGCTCCTACTGTGTGCCAGGCACTGCCACCTGAAGCTGCTGTTAACCTCCAGCTGCGGGAGCCTGAGCCTCCTTAACTGTACAAGAGAAAAGGAAATACAGGGGCGGGCATTGGTAGGAGGTGCCCTTTACTTGACGTTCAATTTCTCTACATTTGCTCAGTCCTGTGAAGAGAAAAGGGTGAGAAGAGCAGGAAGATGCTTAAGGGTTAGCGAGTGGTAGGCTGACGGGTGAAAGTGGAAGAGAGGCTCTGCAACGAGAAGCAGTTGCTGAGGGTGTTGCTTACTAAGCTGGGAGAATACATCTAACAATCGCCCAAAAGTTAACAGAAAGGTGCCCGTACCTAACTCGAGGAAATGTTGGGAGGAAAGGGTGAATAATTTCTGGGTGCTAAGAAACGGACTGGGAGGTGTGAGGGCAGGCTGATTAGTAGGAATAGGCGTAAGACTTTCTGAAATTGTGGGAGATGGTACTCAAAAAAGTGTACTCAAGAAAGTGTTAGAGAGTTACTCAAAGAAAGAACTGCCTGTATAAATGATATACTAAGGCCTCGAATCTGCACGAGAAAGACAGAGAGGGGAGCAGAGGGAGAATTCATAACTGAGCACCACCTATAGGAATTTGAGACTGAAACTGTCCACTCTCCCCACCCAGCCAAACCGGGCAGCCAGGACAGCTCTAGGTAAATGTTCTGTAGTCCTGCTGATCTGCCCCTCGGCAGTACGGCATAGGTGATCACCGAGTCCCAGCTCTAGAGAAGGAAGAAGGGAAGAGGGGAGTGGGTAGATGAGTGTAACCACCCCTGAGCCGGACTGGCTCCCACCCCCGAAAAAGGGAGCTGCGGAAGCCGATAAAGTGTGGGCATAGGTAATAAAATTCAGCCCTGGGTGTGTGAAGAGGGAAAGAGTGGGATGAGATGTCCTCTATCGCTCTTAGGAAAAGGTTTGATAGAAGAAACAAAAGACGCCTCTTGTCATACAAGATAAACCTTACCAGGAGCTGATGATATCTCTTTTATCAGTGAGGGGTCTTGGGGCCCACCTTGCCACCTCCTACCCTAAAGAAGAGGAAAGAGAGTCCATCTAAACCTGTTTAGAGAAAGGACTTCTCACCAGCCCGCGAGATCTCCAACAGCGACCAGAGACCAAGCCATTACTGGCAACCCAGTTCGGTGTCTATGCCATTGCTTATTATTGGGGGCGGGAGTGGGAACAGTTGTTACACATAACGAGATCCTGCTTGGGTTTATCATTTTCCCTCCCCCACCCCCACCCCACCCCCCAAGGCTTCCTTCCACACTGCATGCGAGCAGTTTGTTCTGCACAGATCCTTGCAGCAAAAAAAATCTTAGAGAATCTGTTCCAAAGAGTAGGGACTCTTAGTTCACACTTTAAAATCTCAGACCTACTCAAACAACGAAAAATATATATACGTACATTTTTTCTTAAGTGGAGGTAGATATTTTGTATACAAAGTGGTTTGCATGTTTTAATAGCATGCTGTGGGCGCTGTTGTATTCGTGAACAGCACCTGCTATAGGGGCAGGAGCTGAAAGGGGCGGGAGCATCTTTGCAGCTAAGGCCAGGCAGCTAGCCAGAGTGACTTACTCTAGCAGTCCTCTGTAGTGAGCTGGCTAGGCCAGATTGCCCCCTCCTGGTGGCTTCTCACGCTCCCTTCTTTCTGGTCAGGCTCATACAGGACTAGGAACTAGGCTTAGGCAATGAGGAGGAAGAAGAGGAGGAGGAGGAGAAAGAGAAAGAGGAGGAGAGGGAGAAATTACACAAAGTAGAAAAGAAAAAGAAAAGTCTGAACTGTATTACTTGCAGCTTGCATTTAAATATATAAAAAAATCAGAATAATACTTTCAAAGCTGTCCTGCTTGTCCATTTCCCTCTAAACTTCTCTCTTTTCCTTTCTGTTGGTTTTAAGATGCTTCAATGACCCTTATTAATTCCTTTTCTCCTTATTTTTTGATAAAACAATACTAGCTCCCCCTTCTTCCATAAGAAAATAAAAACACTATCCTTATATAACAAATAAGCACAGTCAAGCAAAACAAATCAATGTTTGCCATGCCTAAAAAAATGTATTTATCATTCTGAACCTTGGTACCATTACCCCTCTGTCAGGAGATGAATGTTTCATGCTTCATCATGTATCCTCTAGAGTCTTGATTGGTCATTGCATTGATGAGAGTTCCTAAGTCCTTAAAAGTTGTTTTCCTCTGCAGTGTTTTGTTATTATGAAAAATGGCCCGATCCTGTTTACTTCACTCTAAATTGTTCAGACAAGTCTTCCCAAATTTTTCTGAAATCATTCTTTTCCTCATTTCTCATGGCTCAACAATTCCATTATATATCTTAATTTGTTCAAGCCATTCCTCAAGTGACAGACACCTCCTTTGTTTCTATATCTGCTACAACAAAAGGAACTACTATAAATATTTTTGTATAGATGGTCTTTCCCCTTTTTCTTTGATCACTTTGGGGCATAGTTCTTATCTCTAGGTCAAAGGGTTTACACAGTTTGGTAACTTTTTTTTTTTTTAGCATAGGCCCAAATAGCTTTCCAGAATGTCTGGATCAATTCATAGCTCCAAAAACAGTACACTAATGAGCCTGTATTCCTGACACCCTTCCAACAACTGGCATTTTCTTTTTTTTAATCTTTGCCAACATAATAGCTGTGAGGTGGAACCTCAGTTATTTTTATTTGTATTTCAAAATTATTAGCAATTCAGAACTTTTTTTATATAGCTATTGATCTCTTGGATTGCTTCCTTTGGAAAATGCTTGTCCTTATCCTATCATCATTCATATATTTGAAACAGTTCTCTATATGTTTTGTGTTTTTTATCAGAGAAGCTTGCTCCAAAGATTTGACCCACTTAACTGTCTTCTGATTTTAATTGCATTTGTTTGTGCAAAAACATTTACATTTATATAATCAGATTATCCATTTTGCCTTCTAAATCCTTTCTATCCTTTATCTACTCATGAAATCTTCCCTTATCTAATTAGAAAAGGTCTTTTGTTCCTTGTTCTTCCGATCTGTTTATGATCTGACCTTTCATATCTAGGACATATACATTTGGAGCTTACTTAGTTTATGGCATAAGATTTTGGTCCGAATCTAATTTATTCCTGAATACTTTCCAGTTTTCCTGGAAGATTTTTGTCAAATCCTGAGTTCTCGCCCCAAGCAGTTTTGATATTTCAAGATACTCTTGAGCATCTAACTTCAAGGATTTCAAATTAGAGGTAAAATGAGAGATGCTTTCTAGAAGCAGCCACAAATATGGGGAAAAGATCAACTAAGATATTGTACATAGAAGCAAACTCACCATAGACAACACAGAAAAGCACATGCTTGCTGTTCACCTCCAGGTTTTACTTAACTTTCAGCTGCCCACTGTAACAGTACATCTCGGGGGAATCATTTGCATAAGGTTGAAAATTTCACCTGCTGAACTGCTGAAGGAGGAGAGGGATAGAATTTTTTTCTCCCTTCCTTCAACCCTTACTTTGGAATGTGGGCATTCAGTCTTTTCCAGAAACTCTTCTTCTTTCATGAACCTGACCTAATCTCTAGTGCCCACCCTGTGTGAAGTGGAGAGGAATCTGTTAGCATAGGTGAAGCAGAATTATGGAAAAGACAATGTGACCAGACCCCCCACCCCACCCCTAGCCAGACAATAAATGATATTGAGCCCACTAGAACTGAATTCATGCTTTAAAAACAAAAACTTATTGTGAAAAGTTTATAAAATGTCCAGTCAAAATGACCTTTTCTCCTTTAATCAGTAGACCCAAGGTAGAACAAAATCCTTACAATTTTCCAATAGTCTATTTTTCTCTATCCCTTTATTTTTCTCTCTGCAAGACCTGCTGGTCATTGCCCTTCCCTATGGTTTTCCATTCACAGTAATGAAGCACACAAATCAGAATCACATGCTGAGCATTTCTCCTCAAGCCACAAAGTACTCTGTTCAAGCCTCT